GCAATGCGCGGCGGCCACGGCCGGGGGTCGACTCCCCCGGAGGCGAGCGCCGCCCGCGTCCCGTTCCCCGCGGCCGCCGGCCGGTGCCTGCGCGCGAAGCAAGCGCGGGGCGGAGGGTGGGAGCGCGCGGGGAAGAGAGCGGGAGGGGGAGGGGAGGCGCGAGCAGGGAGGAACGGGAGCGTCCGGCCCCGCGGGTTCCAGACCGGGCTTAAATACCCCGGGGGCGGCGCCGCTCCTCCTACCCGCGCCCCGCGCCCTGGACCTAAGGAGCGCGGCGAGGTCGTGCAGGTCGGCGAGGCCGAGCGGTCTCTTGCTGGGGGCCAACTTGGGACGATTTTGAGGCGAGAAAGCGCCTCTACCGAGTAAGGAGAAGGAGAGGTTCCGTGTGGGAGTCCTGGGGTTGCCCGGGTTCGAGCCCACCAGCTCGGAGACCTTAGAAGAGAAACTCAACCTCTCTGAGCTGTTTCCTCACTTGGCAAATGGGGAAATGACAGTTGCTTTTTGTCGGGAATGTTGTGGGGGCGTAAATAAGATCATGCACGTGAGGAACCGAGAACGGGGCCTGGCGCTTGGCGAGGAAGCGAACAGCACCAGGCAGGTACGCTGGCTCCGGCGCGTCTCCCCCGCGTGGGCGGGGCGGGCGGGGCGGTCGCGGCGCGAGGCCGGCGCTGGGAGCCGCGCGCGTGGACACGCCCTGCCGGCTCCGGTCGCCGCTTTGCGCCGCCGACTCGTGCCAAGACCGGGTTTGAAACCCTGTCTTTCTCCTTAACACGGAGTGCTCCACATCCTCAATATCCCCTGCCCTTTCACTTTCTAAAGAGGTATTTGCGCATTTACTTCGTCATTAAGAGAGGAAACTACCATACTAGGGAAAACGCCCAGAGCAGGAGCAGTAAGGCCTCAGGAGATCCTTGGTTGTTAATTCTCAACCATCCGTGCAGTCTTACTGTCTCCCTGAATTATCGGCTCCAACACTTATGTAACCTCAGGCCAGCTTCCCTGTATATTAAGTTCCACAGAGAAGGAAAACTAACTTTATTGACCTGAGCAAAATGAGATGAGGAAGAGAAAGTCTACTAAAGCCATTTAATTGTTTCCTATGTGCATTTGTTTAATCTGCACAATGACCCAGTGGAGAGTTGAACTATCTGCAAATGCTTTTTTGGAGATTCAAATATAGTCGAAAGTTGGCCATTTCGTAGAATTCGAAATTATTATCCTCATTTTATAGATATGGAAACTGAATTTCAGGGAGAGTAGATAACTTTCTTGTGGTCTCAGGTCCAGTAAGCGGGTGGGCTGGGACTTGAAATCAGGCTTATCTGATGTCCAGATGGGCTCCTAACTGGTAGGGTATAGGGTCACAGGTGAGTTTGGCCTGTTGGCTACCTGAGGGCTTCCTCCTTTAGTGAAGGTATGGGCTTCACAGAGTACAAATAACAGTTCTACTTTGTGTCCTCAGAAAACATTTTCTAGACGGCCAAACTCAGGACTTTAGTTGACAAAAGTTGGATGGGTTTCCATAGAACAGTCAAAAGAGCCTCATACTAGATGTGTGATCTTGGGCAAATGGCTTAACCTTCAGTTTTCTCATGTGCTGGCATCTCCTTCATAGGGTGGTTGTAAGGGAGTAAATGAAATAATGTGTGTGGAGGCTATTACTCAATGCCTGGCACACAGCTAATGTTTGGTAAATGGAAAGTACATTACTTCTTAGATCTAATGGATCCCATTTAGAAAAAACAATATTTTAAAATCACATTTTTAAGTGAAAAGAAAAAAGTACCAGCAACATTTGGATAAAAGTTGATATTCAAAAGTAAACAGCTGGGATCATTTAAAAAGTTTGCTATCATAGCTTTGCATTCTTAAGGAAAAACAATGATGGTAGCTTCAGAGATCAGAGCATATTGGATTGGAAAGACCTCCAGCTTCCTCTGAAAGCCAAACCTTGATCCAACAATAGGAAATGTGAAACTTTCTTCCCTTAGACCTTCTTTCCTGGCATTTGGTAGAGGATTTTTTGGTTTTTGTTTGTTTTAGTGGACAGGTGGTCTGGGTTGAAGGGTGAGATAGACAGAATCCCACTCAGGTAATAAAGGAAATAGGGAAGCTCACTACTGGAACTTGATTAACAGTAAACCAAGTATGGGGAGCACACATTTATGACACATAGAGGCCCATCAGCCATTGGATCTTTACTGAATAATAAGTACATTTCTACTCAGAGGTAAATTGCTGGGGATGGGGGATGCTGGTCAAAGTGCTCTTGGAAAGTCTATGATGTGAGTCTTCAGAAAAACAACACCTATTCATTTATCTGTTCCTATGTTCAGTCATAGTATATTTCTGCAAACAAACAAACAAACAAACAAAAAAAGGCAGACATAGAATGAAAAATTGAAAGTGGAATTAAACAATGGAGAAGAGAGATCCAAACTAAATAAGGTCTCTATTCCAATTTCCTATGATGTACAGGCTGTTGTCATGGGATAGCAAGACAAAGGGAAATGACTGCTGGCATGCATATGTGTTTAATGAGGAACATTAGTGGAACATACCTTATCTGTCCTCCCAGTGTGGAAAAATCTGTATAAGCGAAGGAAGTCCTTAAAATAGCCTCTCATGGCCATCACCCCCACAAAAACAGTGAAATCTGAGGTGCTGAATCTCCTTTACAAACCAATCCGAGTACATTTCTTTAAAAAAAAAAAAAAAAAAGAAGGAAAGAAAAAGCTCTTAGAAAAGAGGAAAGGATTTCCGTAGTTCCTCTGTGTATTTTTAGACGAATGGCATCACTTTGCAGACTTGAATCTAGAGTCTGAGGGTTATAAACCACTTTCCTCAGCGTTTCCACTACATCTTTGCAGTCTGGCTGCTTTTCAGACACACAAGTTTCTAACTCTTAGTGGTCATTCCTTAGCTTCAGCTAACGAAGTCTTTTGGCTTTTTAAGGAACTTGCCTGTCTGGTGGGAAAAGCCTATCTACTTGTAAGGTGTCAAGAAACAGATAATAAAATAGATCCATTTCTGCTAACACAATAATACTCTTTAATCTAAGCCAGTGCTGTGACTCATCTGCCTGTCTCCTTTTGTGGGATGGAAAGGGAGCTGTCTGTAAACCTTCGGGCAAGCAGCCTGGAGAGGGGAGGAGGTTCCTCTCACACGCTAGGGCTGCTGTTCTGCTTCAAAACCCTACAGAGCTCTGGAACTGCCTTTTTTCCTAGGCTGAAGCAGCCCTTGGTATTTCGGGATGAGAGGTTGGCCAGGACAGCCCCAGTTTAAATAACTTGTCTCAAAGTGGATGCTGGCACCAAGGAAGCTTCTGCCCAGAGCAAGGGGGGCCTTCATGGCTCTCTCGGAAAGCTGTACAGTGAGGTCTGAACTGGCTTTATATCCATCTGGTAGAATGAGGTGCCAGAAGACAGCCTTGAAAGAAGGGGCTTTTCCTTTTTTTTTTTTTTTTTTTTTTTTTGGCTAGCAAAAATAAAGTTTTATTGTTCTGCATTCCTTATTTCAAAAGTATCACTGTGGAAAAATTAAAAATTAAAAAAATATTTCCACCAGTTGCATAACTGTTAACACATCTTTTGAGTAATTTCTCTCCTTGTGTATGGCATTCTCCTTTTTTAACTTGCTTTTTCCTTTTAATAATATTTTGTGAACATCATTCCATCTACTTTTTGAAAACATGATTTGCACAGTATTCTGTTGTATGGGTGTATCATAATGTAGTGAAATAGTGCTCTAGGATTGGGCATTTAAGTTGTTTCCAAATTTCTGCTATAATTGACAGCTCAGTAAACATCTTCATGTCTAAATCTTTGCATACATCTTTAATCAATGTCTAAACCTTCAGCAGCCTCATTTGTTCTTCTTGGGAGAGAGAAACAAGACAGAAAATTGTAGCTAACAAAATAATTGCTGTATGTATCTCAAGACTTTATGATTATCAAGAATTTTTGTGGGCATGATCCCCTCCCAGCACCCTGGGTGAATTATTTGAGTTCATTCTTGTATTTACCAACATTGATTGAGCCCAGAGGGGATCCCTATCGGTTGAGGACAGGAGTTGAGATTTCCCTTTCACGTTGTCTTTGTGGGCAATGTGTCCTCTGCACAGCTCTATCCAAGTCTGGACACCTCGTGGGAGGCAGACTGTTGGGCATCAGGCCATTCTACGTTCTTAGCTTTTGCCCTCATGAGCTGCCTACAGGATAGCTTCTGGAGCAGCTAATGCAGTTATAGTGACTCTAAAGCACTGTTTCAGAGGAAGAAGGTAATTGAGAAAGAGGGGAAGAGGAAGAGAAAGAAAGAAGAAAGCTCTATGGGCCCAATCTCTGTTGTGCTCTGGCCCAGCTTTCTATGGGCTTATTTGCAAGTCTTTTAAACAGCAAGACCAGGATCATAGGGGTCAGCCCTCTGGGACTCTCCCTGATCACATATGGTGTCTGGTCCCACTTGTGGCATTCACAGTGGGGGCTGCAGGATGTGACTGTGCTGTACTGGAGCTGTTCTTACAAGGATCCACAGGGCTCCTATGTGGGCACCCTAAGTGACCACTTCACTTGTGCCCAGTGCCTTCCCATCATCA